ACCGATGACTCTCTGGTGCCGCGAACCATTCGGGCGGCGACGCGAGCGACATCCCCTGGCGGCCGTGACCACTGTTGGCGATCGCGAAACCGAAATCCCCCCCGGGCCAGCTACATCCAACATACTCTCATGGCGGAGCGCAATGCGATGGATGCGATGGATAACCCAGAAGACTGCGAAATCGGTAGTCATACTTGCGTTGCTGGTGTTATCGGGTGCGCTCCCACGTAATGATGCTGGTGCGAACTAGCGAACTCTATGAGAGCATGTTCTTCATACATTCAATTGAAAAATACATCTCAACTACCGCGTGCAGTTGCGAAAAACAACAAAACACACAATATACTGTTCACTTACCCCAAAAGGGTGACACCCATTAGCAGGCGAATGAGGCGCCAAGACGCCTCCGAGAGAGCGAAAGCACATTGGAAACAACTAGTGAGTTCAATGTTACCTGCCTGTCCTATGTGTTGTTCCCACGCTGTTCCAATATCGTTTCAAGACAGCCCCGCGAGCCCCAGGGACTGTCCAAGACGACGACAAGGTGGCCCCAAAGGTATCATGATGCCGCCCAGGTCGTCCAGGATGGCCCAATAAGGCCCCAAAGCTGTCCAACACAGCCAGAATATTGCTCAGCATGGGGGGATGGCAGAAAAGGGCGCAGCCCTTCAGATACACGCGAACTCGGACGTCAAATTGAATCCACCGGTACGGAAGTATGCGAAGCACTTTGCGACGGAGAATACAACGTTCCATGGCAACGAAAGGCGGCAGTCCAAGATTGGTAAAGAAGCAGCTACTCGCATCCAAATAGGCCACGTACGTTGAACAAATGGCCATGTGTCAGTTGGCACTGACAGCGCCCAAATCGTAAGCAAAGTCATAAGCATACAATATAACCAACGCACAGACACAACAGTGAGTCGGTTCCGGAGAGATGACACCACCATGAAAGCAAGATATGTCGGAAGAACTAATGGAATTACAGCCAGCACTTTCGAATCATTGCACAGAGATGCAGCGCTAGAAACCAGCACGATCATTAACATTGGAAATGCAATCAAGCCGCAATTTACGAATCCGAGCGCAAAATCAATACGCTTGAGGTCCATCGCCTCTTTTACCGCCGAATCGGGCACGGAGATGCCACCTGCAGGAGCAGCCGACACGAACCACCATGTTCGCAGCCATGATGTGGCAGAGGCCTCGAGCAACCCCGTGCAGTACAGCCACCAGTGGGTGGACAGCAGGACCACGGGCAGGGTGCCTAGCAAGTGAGGGCTGGGCACCCCGAGGATGTCCTGGCACATGTGCGCGGCAGATGGGCAACAAACCTACATGAGCATGGCCTGTCGGAGGTCGGCGCGAAGTCTTGGATCGGCGCCAAAGGCGCCGCCAATGGGGCGTCCAGTGCGACCAAGACACCTAAAGAAGACGGAAATCGGGAAATCCACAAACCCCGACTTTCAGCGAACAGTGGGTTATTTGCAAGAATCCTGTGCACATTGTGCGAATCGCCACTGGGAGGGGAAGGGTACGCTCGAGAGTATCAGACACAATCACAATCCTGCGACAGGAACCCTGGAGAAGGAACTGACCTCCTGTTGGACCTCAGCCGCGCCAAGACGCACGAGGAACGCCACAATAGAACCCATGGAGGAACAGAAGGATGCCCGAGAGCAAGAATTCATTACGCAACGCCGCGCGAACGCTTCCACCTCCTCCTCCTCCTCCTCCTCCTCCTCTTCCTCCTCCTCCTCCTACTCCTCCTCCTCCTCCTCCTCCTTCCCCTCCTCCTGCTCCTCCGATTCCTCCTCTTCCCCCTCCTCCTCCTCCTCCACTTCCTCCTCCACCTGCTCCTCCTCCTCCGCCTCCTCCCCCTCCTCTCCTCCCTCCTCCTCCGCCTCCTCCTCCTCCTCCTCCTCCTCCCTCCTCCTCCTCCTCATCCTCCTCCTCCTCATCCTCCTCTTCCCCCTCCTCCTCCTCCTCCTCCGCCTCCACCTGCTCCTCCTCCTCCTCCTCCTCCTCCTCCTCCTCCTCCTCTTCCTCCTTTTCCTCCTCCTCCTCCTCCTCCTCCTCCTCTTCCTCCTCCTCCTATTCCTCCTCTTCCCCCTCCTCTTCCTCCTCTTCCTCCTCCTCCTCTTCCCCCTCCTCCTCCTCTTCCTTCTCCTCCTGCTCCTCCGTTTCCTCCTCCTCCTCCTTTTCTCCTCCTTCTCCTCCTGAAAATATGGTCGGTGTATTTCCCCCTGGAGCCAAGATGTTGCACTGCAGTATGGTTTGTTCCAGAAATAAGAGTTTCACGCATGAAACATTTCTCCGTGTATCTGGGGGCTGTGAGACAGCATGCGTAACAGGTCCCAGGCCTAAAAACATCGACGTGTATGCCACGTGACAGCCTTGCACCTGCTCATTCAGTCGGAACGCATTCATCCCCCCCCCCTCGGCTGATTTGCATAATGTGGAGACGGGCGACGGAGATCGGGGAGAACGGGACCTATGAAGATGTCAACCTCGGGCGATCCTCAGCGTAGCCATTCGACATTAGGCAAAGTGACACTCGATCAACGAAGGCGCCCGAATGCGCCCCTAGATCATTTTGACGCACACACACACACACACACACACACACACACACACTACACGTCTCGTGTCCAACAAATAGCTCCACCTACGGCATAAATGAGGTCGCCCGCGTGCGGTCGCCACGCCCATCACACGGTTCGTACCACATGCGGAGCTCCACCTACGGCACCAGTGAGAGCGCTCGCGCGTGGTCCCCACACCCATTTCGGCATACTCCTCAAAAGGATCGTGCCCCGCAGGGAAACTCAGCGCGGTTCTGTCTGCTTGGTCCGCAGCCCGTGTGCGCAGTACCCCGAACTCAATCCCCTCCACGGCACGGAATATATTCCCCAATCAGCGCTTGCCTCTGTGGGGATCCTAGCGGATTCATATATGGCTTGGTGAGGTGGGTCGCCGATTTCGGTGGCCGGCCCGGGTGCCCCATGGTGCCCGGAGGTGCCCGGGGGTGCTGTAGCCCTATAGCCCGATAGCCCCATAGCACTATATCCCTAAAAAGTATGATTGTTTTTTTTATCTGGTATCATGAGCAGAGAGCCGCGCCATGCATTACACGCAACTGCACACGTGGGACCCTTCGCCAGGCTAATGCTTATGTAGTGTCTTGTTCCTCGAGGTCAGCGCGACTGGCCTCTACGCGCGCGCGCGCGGCCAGGTGACGGCAAAAGGGCGACCACCCGCTGGCAGAGCAGCGCCGGGGGCCACTCGAAGCCTCGAGCCAGAACAGCCACGGGCCACGGAGGCCTCATCAGTGACACCAGCGCGGCTTTGGGGGACCTTCAAGAGCATCAGTCGCGGGCGGAAAGAAGTACGGGTCCACGGCTTCGGGTCAGGACTCCTCGACCCTGACCCCCTGGATATGGAGCGGCGTTGCGCGGATACCCCGCGCGGAACGTATCCATGGGAGCGCGTATCCATGGGATCGCGTCCGAATATGGATATGCCCGTCGCTCGGGGATTGTGATCGATCTGCGTCTGCCGCAAAGCATAGCGGTGTCCAGCGCGGTCACTCGGCGGCACCGGCAGATGAAAGCACGTCTCAGGTTGGGGGGTTTGCGCAATCGCCCCGCCTCGCGAACTTCGCCTCTGGGGAACAACATCCACGCCGACGGCAAAACAGAAAACCGGCCAAACCGACAGCGAAATCGAGACCCAAACCGACAGACCGAAAGCAGCCTTGAAGAACCGAGTCGACCGAATACAACCGGCTGCGAAGCAACTAACCGAACCGAGTTGTGGACACCCATGCGGGTTAATAGACGCCCGCGCGGCTCAGCGGGCAGCGAGATCCATCTGGTCTCATCCAGATGCCCCGCCAAGCTCCCCAGGGAGGGCCAGCGAAAATGCCGTGGAGCTAGTCGCAGTCCGAAAAAGCTGGGTCCACTGAGCGCTGCGGCGAACGACGGGGGGAACGAACGACAACCGAGAGGGAGAGACGTGGGGGGAGAACGGGAGGAGCAGCAGGCGGCGGGCGAGGCCGCCACTCGCCGTGGCCCGAAGAGTTTGCATCTGAGAGGCCGCGGCCCCCAGGCGGCGCCTTGCCCGTGCCAGCAGAGATGAGCGCCTGCCTGCGCGCCTGGGGTGCGGGGGGGTTGCGCCGCGGGGTCGGGACGGCCAGCTCCCTCCCTCCCTCCTCAGGAAGAAGTGCTGGAGCAAGCGCGCAGGCAGAGATCTCCGAGGCCCGCGCGGACTTCGCGGGTCGGCGCAGGAAGCCCCCATCCCTGGCGCGCGGAGCGTGCCTGGGGCGGCGCCGGAGGCGGCGTCCGAAGGTCCATGCTCAGTCCTCCTGCTCCTCCTCGCAGCCGCCAGGGGCCCAGTGGCCAAACAGAGGTTGAGAAGCGCGAGTTTGGAGAAGAAGGGAATTTGGGCGTGAGGGAAAGGTGTCCTGGTGGAAACGGGTCCAGGACGCCAAGGCGTTCCCCGGAAGCAGTCTTTCAACGCGAGCCGTGTTTGGACTGCCCCAGGGCCCAGGGAGTACCCTGGGAACCAGAAAATAAACAGTTCTTCTGGGCGACCCCCAAAAAAATACAACCCCGAAACGTCTCCTGGGGTGTGCTCTGTCCAGAATTTCGGAGGGAATCCAGACGTGGCGACGAGGAGCCTCCCACAGGCACACAGAGGGCCGCCCAAAAGTCTCGGTCACTTCTTTGCATGCTTGGACTTGGGGACGCAGGGAGTTGCGTACGCAGACGGCACGTGCACACCACCACCATGCGTGTCCAGGGCCATCCTGGACCCTGGAACCCTGTATACACCGTCCTGGCCAGGCATGGTGGTGTATGGGCGCATTCTGCCCGAGCGACCGTCGCGCCTCCTCCGCGTGGGCAAACATCACCGCAGCGCACTCCGAGGCGTGGTGCGCAGCGTACTCGGCGGATCCCCGGCCCTCCTGCGAGGCGACCAGCCCTGCAACCTGTCGGGGGCCGCGCCCGCGCAGGCTGGGCGCGGATCAGTCGGACGAGGATCAAACTTCCAGGTTCGAGGACCTCCAGGAAGCTTCTCGTCGCTACGGCTGGACTCACCTCACAAATCTGGACGTAACGCACCCTGGGATCGGTCGGGGTGTCGGACTCCGACCACTGCAGCAAGGCCTTCGACGTCCTGAGAAGTCAGGACCAACGTGTTCGGTATCCAGGGGACGCTTCCTGGCCCCAGGACCGCCAAAAACGACCCAGGAAAAGAACTGGACCCTGGAAAGGGGTCGAGACCCCTGGGGTCCACGATGATACACAAACATCACGACGGGGGGGTTCGAGACGAGACGAGCGCGCGGCGGTTATCTCGGGGGTGCCTGGACCATTGCACCGTGGTGTTTGTGCTCGCCCGGCTCGAAGAAGTGAGTGGAGAAGCCGTGAGAGGGCGGCGAGGGAAGGGATCGTGCGCATTGAGTGGGGTCTCGCGAATTGCCTGAGGCTTGGCAACCAACGCTCGCTCCAGAAGAACCCGAGATATGCTAAACATAAACTTTCGGACATCCACTCGGACTTCTTGGGTCGGCGCTGGACCCTCTCCCCGCCCTGGCGGGGCGCCCGAGGCGCTGCCAGGGAGAGGTCCAGCGCCGGGCCAAGAAATCTGCGCAGACCTCCCCACAGGTTGATGTTCCCCGTCCGACAGGTTGAGTTGAGAAATTCAAGCACGAGAGCTCCCGCCCGCCCGGCCCGCCCTGCTTACTGCGGCCGCCACGCCCAGAGCGTCCCAGTGGTCCCTGAGGGCCCCTTCATTCATTCCGGACTACCTATGAGGTCCCGATGCGACACCTTAGGACACAGCGGCGCCAAGTCACTCCTGTATTCCCGAAAGGGTAGCACTGTAAACTGAGGCAGTAGAGCGCAGGGCAACAGAGGTACACCGATCTGTCGGATCTAGGACACGAAGGTAGCAGAGTCGCGCGTCTTCCAGACAGTGCAGATGAAGACACTGAAGTTGGTGATATAGGAGTCCGAGAGATCGAGTTAAACAGAGAAGTGGCGAGGCCAGGCCAGCGTCTTCAGACATCTTGGCTGCAGAAACCAGACGGATACCCTGCCAGAACTAACTTAGGACACAGAGCTGCAAGGTGTGGTGGCACGCCGGAATGTACAACAAGCCAAGTTCAAACAACTAAGAGGCGGCGAAGAACAATCCAGCCCGACAAGCTCCCGAAATCATGAGCACCAAGACTTAGCTTGCCATAGAGCGTATTACCCACTAATCTGCTACCGAGGTCCGACACTCCCAAATATGATCCTTCACAGCACCCTGGATACAACAACAGGATATCACCGAGTGGAATATCCCATCGCCCAGCATCGTCTGAGGTATTGTCTGAGGTGTCGGCCTGCACGCTGCGCAATCCGGGCTGTCACCCATGTCTTCCTGAGAAAGAACGGCATCGGAGAGGGCAGAGGCAGCAGGGGTGAGAAAGGATGGGTGCTCCAGACCACCTTCAGCGCCGCAGCGTCTTCACCAGCGATCAGGTGGTTCAAGATATCCTTGACCTTGAGTTGCAAATAAAACCCAAACGGCCGCCCTTTCGCTGCATCTGCGGCTGCGGTTGCTGTCGCTCCTGCTGCTGTCACAACTCTTCTCTTTCGCGCGCGCATCTGGAAGCAACAAAATGCGACTCACACGCTGTGCTCAATAGACTTCTATGGTGTCGGGTACCTTTATTTGCCACGAGTCCGGAACACATGCCAACATATTGTTCGTTCACGCTGCCGATGGTGCGAGGTTTTCACCAGGAAGGGCACAATAAGCGTTGCGAGGCGTCGCAATACAAGAGAGCCTAGGTCACGCTGGCTGTGTACAAGAGCACCCCTCCCCTACCCCTCGCTCCCTCCCCCTCCACTCCGCCCTCCTCCCACTTTCCTCCTCCTGCTCATCATCATCATCATCATCATCATCATCATCATCATCATCATCATCATCATCATCATCATCATCATCATCATCATCATCGTCATCGTCATCATCATCATCATCATCATCATCATCATCATCATCATCATCATCATCATCATCATCATCATCATCATCATCATCATCATCATCATCATCATCCGTTCCCCCTCTCCGGTCCCCTCCTCTGAGACTCTGGGACTCTACGAGACGAGGTCTTGCCAGCACAACCTACCTAGTCGATAGCATCGTCCCCAATTGTATGGAAGTCGCTGTAATGTCTGTTTCCGACCCCCGTCATCCCAAGTCCCCACCCTCCAGAATTCTCCTCGGGGCCTTGCTTAGCATCGTCAGCAGCCCGCCAGGTAAAGGCCCAGAAATGTTCTCCTCCATCCCCTTCCTCCGCCGCCCTCCTCCCGCCCCCCTCCGTCGCACCTCTCACGCCTCCTCCGCCCCCTCTCCCCTCCAATCCCTGTGGCCACTGAGTCGCAGGCCGCTTCCCGAGGGACTGGCGAGGCGGCCGCGCTGCAGCGGCGCACGGGCCTCGGCAAGCTGAGGGGGAGGGAGAGGAGGAGGAGGAGGAGGAGGAGGAGGAGGAGGAGGAAAAGAGGCTCTTCTACCTCTTCCTCATTCGTCCTCCATCCTCTTCCTCCTCCTCCTCCTCCTCCTCCTCCTCCTCCTCCTCCTCCTCTCCTCCTCCTCCTCCTCCTCCTCCTCCATTCTTCTCCTGATGAAGAAGCCCGAGGCCAGTCGTAAGGGCGGGCTCGGCGTTTCGTCTGAGACTTCCTTACCACTTATGAGCCTTAAGCTTGAAAACTGGTATCAGCTTCACAGACGGAGGGCGGGTCGCTTCCAAAATGTGGTTCCCGCCTTAGTGCCGCGCACATTCGTCTTAAATCTGCACGAGGTTAATGGATTGATGGCGCGTGGCTTTCAAAATGCGGTTCTCGCCGGAGCGCCGCGCACATCCGTTTGAACAATGCAAGAGCGTCACGGATTGCGCGCGGGTGGTTTTCAAAATGCTACCGCCTTAGCGCCACAAACCTGCGTTTCAAAAAAATACAAGAGCTTCACGGGTTGAGGGCGGGTCCATTTCAACATGTGGCTCCCGCCTCAGCGCATCGCACATTCGATTTAAACATGTGCAAGGGTTTCACAGATGGAGGGCGGGCGGTTTTCAGGACGTGGCTCTCGCCTTAGCGCTGTGCACATTCGTTCTGAACATTGCACAAGCATCACGGACTGAGGGCAGTTCCTCTTCAAAATCTGGCTCTCGCCTCAGCGCAGGGCACGTTTTTCAAAAAAACAAAAAAAAAAAAAAAAAAAAAAAAAAATGGTTATCATGGCTGGCGTACCAGAAATGGCGCGTTGGAAAGATTCCGGGTTGTCAGGGCGCAACAGCTATGTTGATTCGCGGTGTTGAAATCCTGGGCATGGTGTCTTGGTACATTCCAGGATCGTCGAGACGCAACAATTAGGTTGACTCATGGCGCTGAAGTCCTGCGAATGGTTGTTTGGCACTCTCCAGGATTTTCACACGCTCGTACGAAGAGAGAGGTTGGAGGGAAGGTGTATTCCAACATCGTTGTTGAGTCTTGGGCTTACACTGGTCCTCCTCCTCCTCCTCCTCCTCCGTAACACCACCACCACCACCACCATCACCACCACCACCACCACCACAACCATCATCATCATCATGAGCAGCATCAGCATCAGCATCAGCATCAGCATCAGCATCGTTATCATCATCATCATCATCATCATCATCATCATCATCATCAGCAGCAGCAGCAGCATCATCAAACGCATCATCGTCAGCATCAGCATCAACATCATCATCATCAGCATCAGCAGCAGCATCACCATCATCATCATGATCATCATCATCACCAGCAGCATCATCACCAGCATCATCATCAAACGCATCATCGTCAGCATCATCATCATCATCATCATCATCATCATCATCATCATCATCGTCGTCGTCATCATCATCACCATCAGAGGCAGTAACAGCATCATCATCATCATGAGCAGCAACAGCATCCGCATCATCGTCAGCATCAGCATCAACATCATCAGCGGCATCAGTATATCAGTATCATCAGTGGTATCATGATTAGTAAGATCATTATGTCAGTATGGTTAGTGTTATTCGTATTATTATTCTGCATAACAATGATCATCATCATCACCATCATCATCATCAGCAGCATCATCATCATCAGCAGCAGCGTCATCATCAGCATCATCAACATCGTCATCATCATCATCATCATCATCATCAGAAGCAGCAGCAGCATCATCATCATCAGCATCAGCATCAGCATCATCATCATCATAATCACCATCATCATCGTCGGCAGCATCATCGCTATCATCATCAGCATCAGCAACATCATCATCAGGTAAGCATCCTCACTACCACCAGCAGCATCAGCAGTATCACCTTCACCGTCATGATAATCATCATCAGCATCATCATCACCATCAGCATCACCATCATCACCATCATCATCATCACTACCATCGGCGTCATCATCATCACCACCATGATCAGCAGCAGTATCAGCAGCAGCAGCAACAGCGGCAGCAGCATTGGTGGTCAGGCAGCGCTCATCTAGCAATCGCAGTCGTAACTTCAGGGCACCACCGCTGTGGTTAGGATTCGAACACCTAGAACCCTACCAGCAGAATGTTACCTCGTGGGCATCGCGCACAGGAAACGAGCCCGAGCATCAGGTCTCCAAGGTTGTGGAATCTCTGCCAATGGAGGTCCAGCAAAAGTTTCACGTGATCGAGAGCTCTCTCGACGCAGCAGACGGAGTAAAGAAGTTTCTAGATCATCTCTTGGTCTTGAATTGAGAATGGCCAGGGGGCCAGTGTCCTGGCTCGGAATCAAGCCCTGTTCGACTCGACACTACGACGCGGAGAGACTCTGACAGACTTTGTCATTCGGCGGGACGCGCAGATAGGCGAGGCCGACACTTTCGGGCTGGTGCTACCGGATGAGGTGAAGGCCAGATATCTAGAAGAAGGGCCCGCTCTCTCGAGCTGGAACAAACTAAACATGCGCATCCTCGCCACCAGCAAGACGGACTTCCCATCCGTCCGGCAGGCTATCGTCCAAATGGGCGCGACAAAAATGAGGATCCTGCCCACGGCCCCGCCGCCCCCGATCAAGGTCTTCATCGAGACCAGCGATGGCCAACTTGAGCATTCTTCGATGACGACCTCGGCGACGAGGTCGAGCTTCCGGAAGAAAAACCCGAGGCGGTCAGGCGCTCAAGGCCCAGGACCTAGACGAGAACGAGGCGATAGATGTCCTTGCCGCCGTGGTGGAGGACCGCCACGGCAAGGAGCATCGCAGAACGTGGAATGAGTCCCGCAAATTGAATAGGACGAAGAGGGTGGGCCGCAAGCAATTGAAGGAAACGGGCGAAGCCAGGATTCAAGCAACCCACCGGTTCGGATGTCAAGAAGCGCTCCCAGTGCGCGAATTGCGGCGAGAAGGGCCATTGGGCCGAGTCATGTCGCAATCCTCACGAACTAAATCTGACAGGCTGGCCGCGGAGAAAGGCAATACTAAGCAGGCAGGTCGACACGACACGGGAGCTACGATCTACTTCGAGAACCCCACTTCGACATCGGCGTCCAAGCTCAGCTTAACCGACTTCTCTGGGGCCGCCGACGATGACGAACACATCTCGAGAACGGAGCGTCGAGCCGAGATAGCGCAGCAGTGGAATCAGATCTTCCAGAAGTGCGCCGAGCCAGAGGACACCCCGACGCTTCTATCCATGGAGAACGTGGGAGCTCATGCCTCGGTGGATACGGCGGCCGCACAGGCGCTGTTAGGCGAGCCCGACCGCCAACTCACGACGCACGAGATGAAGAAGCTTGGGCGCAAGATCCGGACCGACTGGTCCCCCGCCCGGGGCGTCACGGCCTGGGGCATCGGAGGTCGGACGACGCCAATCGGCCGCGCCTGGGTACCAGCCCCCACTGCAAGGTGCGGCATCGTCGAATTCCTGACGCTGCCGCACGCGCGCCCGCCGCCGTTGCCGGCTGGCCTGCCCTCGATGCTCGGCGCGGAGATCAACCTTCACAAAAACGCGATGACCGTGGACGAGGGCGACCGCCCACGTGGCCGGGCACAGGTCCGTCTCCCTCGCGCACCGCGAGCCGTCCGACTTCCTCATCGGCCCAGAGCTCGCCGAGAAGTTCCCGCTCAGCGAGTCCACCGTGCTGGCGGACCGCGGCTCGCCCCCGGCGGTGGGCAGCTGCGCGAGGGATCGGGGCGATATCGGCAGCAGGAGAGCCATGCTAGGCGCCAGCTCAGTCTCTCTCTCTCTCTCTCTCTCGCTCTCGCTCTCTCTCTCTCTCTCTCTCTCTCTCTCTCTCTCTCTCTCTCTCTCTCTCTCTATTCCCCCTTTCACACCGCCCAGGTCGTCTCGGGGGCAACGGGCCACCCCTGGCGCGCCCCGACTCCTACTGGGGCCAGAATGCCGGTCACAAAGCAGACGCTGGGCACTCCGCCCAAGGCAAAGGCGCCCAACAGCCAGAGCATCCGCGCCCTTCGACGCAGAGCTCAGATGGCGGCGTCGACCAGGAAGACGCGCAGATGGGAGCGCTGCAGGACCAGTCGCAGGAGGAGATCGGCGTCGACCCAGAAGGGGCCAATCGGATGGCGCTAGCGCTGGCAAACGAAGAGATAAGCTAGTCCGACGAGCTAGCGCCCCACGACGGCCGCCTCCACCTGGACGCGAACGCGCACCGCCGGCGCCACCTGCGCCTCAAGGCCCCCTGGTTCAGCCGCCAATGCGCGGGCATGATGGATGCGATGTCACGCAGCCTGGAGGCCCAGGACAAGGTCATGAGCCCCGAAAACTGCATCCACCCGCCGTTGGCCCGCCTGACCAACGGCAATCAGCACGGCTACTGGACGGATCGCATACAGCGCAAGGAGCCCCCGCCTTTCGCCCGAAGACTCAGGCCGAGAAGGACGAGGCGGAGCGTCGCAAGCACATGAAGCTGAGGACTCAGGAGATGCCCCGGGAGGCCAAGCGCCAGATCCAGCGCGAGCTCGACGAGACGATCGAGAAGTACGACAAGGAGGGCGGCGATCCGCGGACGCCGACGCCGCGGCCAAAGGGCCTTCTGGCGAGGAGGGCGATCCCAGAGGAGACCGAATCCAGCTCTCAAACTCGGCTGCAGCGGGCCGCCGGGCCGCCTGGCCCACGCGCTGGAGAGCGAGGGGAACGTTCCCATCGAGCCACCTCCGGCGGGAGCACCCCTGCCAAAGCGCCACACCCCGCCCCCGCACATGAGGGCCATGACGGTCGCACATGAACGCGGCCATGGAGAACCAGCGCTGGGCGAACGCAAGCCGCTTCGAGGAGACGAGGAAAATGATGGCGCAACAGGGCTAGCAGATGAAGAACGTCATCCAGGATCCGGCGGGGGCGACCAGCCAAAGCATCGAGGGGGTGAGGCGGCTCGTTGCGCGGCAGGGGCGCCAGATCGCCTAGCTCTCGAGTCGC